GTGCACCCTAGCAGTCAGACTGAGATAGAAGAAGGTCCTCCTAGCTATAATAATAGGCAGAATGAAAAGAATCCTGACATCCCAGGAGTGACTGATATGTACCAGGCCAGGTACTCATCATCCTTTCTCTCGGGCGGGGGCCCATGGAGTCATACTCCCTGACATCCCCTCAAAGGCGAGGCTGCTGAAAGTGACCTAGCCAGGATGCAGAATCCAAGTCTAGTGGGCTATCTCCTAACCCTGGGTGGCCCTTGGACCTATGGTGGGTGGGGGTGGGGAGGCAAGGAAGGGAAGAAGCAGATCTGCTTCCCAGGGTGTGGACTTCCTAGAGAGCCTCCAGGCCCTCAGGGATCTCCCTTGGCCAATTTAAGGCCTCAGAATTCTCTGGGAGGAACAGGCCCACATACAAGCACATACACACTCTCTCTCTCACACACACACACACACACACACACACACACACACTCCCTATGACAGCTTCCACATTTGGAGTTGACAGATGTGCAAGGTAACAACTCAGTACCGCCTGTGCAGCTGAGGCCCCAGCGTCGCGAACGGGATTATTTCCAGCAAGGCTCAGGGCGGCTGCGTGAGCACAAGCTTGGTTGTGTTGTGTGTGTGTGTGTGTGTGTGTGTGTGTGAGAAAGAGAGAGAGAGAGAGAAAGAGAGAGAGAGAGAGAATGAGTGTGTGTGGTGTCTTCCACCATCATTCTGGATCATCCTGATTCTGTTTTCCTCCCTTGGTTTCCTGTTTCTGCATCACGGTCCTGCTCACCCTGTCTCATTCATTGATTCTCACCGTGTCTATGTCTGGATGCTCAGGAGATGGGCCTGCCTTGTCTTAACTCCCCATTTTTCCCCTGGTCCCTTTCCTGTCTCACCCAGGGAGGCCACAGAGGCAGACTTTAGAGAAAGTCCATTTTGTTCCAGATAATAAAGCTGCTTTTCATGCCTTTGCACAAAGCTCCTACGTGGAGTGCGTGTGTGAGAGTGTGTGTGAGTGTGTGTGTGAGTGTGAGTGTGTATGTGTCGGGGGAGGGCAGCAAGAGGAGGCATATGGGTATCCTAGGGCAGCCTTGGTCACTGCCCTTCAGGTCTGGCCTTCTCCTTTTACTGGGCCAGTTTACTATGGCTTTCATCATTCACGGGGAGATCAGCATTTTAAAGGCAGGCTTCCCAAAGTTTTCTGTCTCCATTTCCATATTCCTCATCACACTACACACTGAACCTAACTATGGCCCTGTGCTGACCCCAAAATATGGCCTCACTGTAACCCTGATCCTGGCCGTATATTGGTTCTTAATTCTGACCTTAGATGGACCCCAGTCCTAACCGTGGCTCTGTCCCATGAACTTCCCCTTGAGGAAGGACTGCTTTGAGGCTCTGTTTCTGCCATTACCCCTTGGGTACCCAAGGATCACAGCTCACTGTTGCTCTGGAGCAAGTGGGGACACACCCAGATCCACTGAATTAGAATCTGGGGTAGGAAAAAGAATCTGATGTAAAGGAGGAGTAAGAGCAGTGATAGTTTTTACTCCCAGGTGATTCTGACACATCCTGGCCCACCCACTCCCAGGATAAACACTTGAGGGCTTTCTTCTAGGAATAACCAATTTGGGGGTTGGGGGCTGGGTGGGACCCATTCCATTGGGGCTTGTCTGCAGAGGCACCATTTGTCATACCCAGTTCTCTCACATGCTTCTTCATACACCTGGCAGTAGACCATAGCCTCATTCACTTGCTCACTCTTGCATTCACTCATTCATCATTTGGCAAACATTCAATAGGCCTGTGCTGTGTCTGGTTAAAGGCTGGAATAACACAGCCTCAAGACTGAGGCCTTCGCTTCTTGAAAAAGGCCAGACTCCAGCAACCACTGCAGCCTGAGCAGAAGACTTGGGCAGCAGTTGAACTAAGGCCTGAACTAGAGTGTGAGCCACACAGACTCCTGTGGCTCCAAGAGAACGCCCCAGGCCTGGGAGGGAGTAGGAGCCAGGGTCCTTTCTTCCCTTGCCCTGGAGCTGGGGGAGGGGGGAAAGGGGGGGGAAGGCCCAAGAGGTGGAGCCCCCCCAAAAAAGGAATTTCCTCCTTCTTTTCTTCTTCATTTTCCCAATCTCCTCATTAAAAACGCCTACGCTCTCCTAGCTCACACTAGGGCCAGTTAGGCCTGAGGGTGCCATTTTCTACAGGATGAAATGAGATAAAGGGTGAGGGAGGACAGTCCTGCAGAAATAACAGAGATCCTGGGGGAAGGGAGGAGGACACCAGTACTCTTCCTTGCTTTTAGGCAGAGACCTCAGGATTAGGGAGTAGAGGGCCAGGATGGCTTGCTCCCTCTTTCCTCAGCATCCCCATCTGTTAGCTAGTCTCTCCCTGAGCTACACCCTCCCTGCGGGTCTCCTTGAGCTGACCTCAGAAGCTCTGACTCTTCAGCTAACTTCTCAGCATGCTATCTGGTGGCTTCTAGTCCACTCCCCTCTCTCCTGTACCCCAGGTCACCGAGAGATATGACAGGGGCTAGAGAGTCGTAACCACATGGTGTCTCCACTCAGGGCAACTGGAAATGCTTTGCCCATCTTCCTTACCCCATGGGAGTAATAGGAGAGAGAGCACAGCTGGGTCTTCTTGGGTGTGTTCACACAGGGTATACACATTTGCTGAATGAGTCAGAATTACTGTATTCACATGTTAGCATATGAGGCCATGTTTTGTGGGAAAGGATGTGGGTGTAGGCCAGAAGGCAGTATCCCAGGGCCTGGCTCCCCAGAGCGACTTGGGAGATACTAACCTGGAGCATGTCTCAGGGGCAGGTAGGTAGGGAGGTAGAAGTACCTGGCACCTCCAGGCTTGGCTAGCAAAGGACTCACAACAGCCTGAGTGTGGGTCATGCATGTGACACAGGAATCGGGAGGTATGGGGAACCTCCTGACCAGCCTGGTCCCAGGTGGTCACCCTCAAGGACAGAGGTGCCAGAGTTCCCTGGGATGAGCCTGGAATATTCTCCTCACTCCCTTGTTCCTCACAGGCCAGCTGGTACCCTCTGTCCCCTCAGCTCAGGATTATTAAACACAAAAAACAAAACACTGCCCAGCTCCTTTACACCAAAGACAAAGAGAAACCTTGTTTGTCTTTTGGCTAATCTGTGGCCCTGCTCACTGCAGCAGCTGGGCTCTGAGCATGTGCAGGCATGCATTTATGTGTGTCCTTGCATGTGCTCATGTATGGGGTGGCCAAGGCCAGGCCATGAACTCTGGGAATACAGATGGCTAGCCCCTGGAGGCCTGCCCAAAAGCCTCACTGCACCAGTGGTGGGGTGTCCTGGAGACAATGAGTCCATGACTGGGATTGAGGTCTGGGAAATCCCTGTGGGCAGAGATCATGGGTCATGGAAGAGGTCTTGGGGCCTGTCAGGAAGTGACTCCATCCCTTTATGACCTCCCCAGTTCTCCTAGAGCCCCTAGAAGTCTAGAATTCTGGAGTGCAAGGACACAGGCCTAGGGAATGCTTCCAAGGCTCCTTAAACCTCTGTACTCAGAGACAAATGTCAGACATGAAGGCCTCGCCATCTTGTGGGGACATGTGGTACTCCTGACTAAGCCCCTGGTCTGCCTGCCTAGATCTCCCACCAGACAGAATTCTGGGCATCTCAGGCTCATGCATTCCCATCTGCAGAGGCCAAACCCCTGATATCATAAGATGCAGTCTGACTAAGCTTAAGACACCTTAAGGGAAGGGTTGCAGAAAGGAACCTTGGAGCTCATTTGCCCTAAAGAAACTGAAGTCCATCAAGGGAGCTGGGCCCTGTCCAAGACCTCCACCAAAGGTGAATCCAAGACAATCTGTCCAGACAGAACCCCATCCCTGCTGAAGAGGTCTACAACAGGGGAAGGGAAGCAGGAGGTCTAGCCACAGGTCAGCCAGGGCAAGGTGTCTGAGCCCTTAAAGGAGGCGGAACTCTAGGAACTGATGTTTAAATGCAATACATAATGTTTAATGGGCCATTACAGCAACACAAATGACTGGCCACTTAATACTCATGGTGACCTTTTGAGGTAGGAGACAAGGTGTTTTTTGCCACCTTGACTACTCATTTCAACCAAGAGAAGCAACTTGCTCTGTTACCACCTGGTAAGTGACAGAGCAAGGATCTGAGCCCAGCTATTTGAACTCCAGTAAGGGTGAGGTCTCTGCTAAGCAAGGTGAGAGTAGAAGATGCTTGCTCACAACATGGGGATCCTGAACGTTGCTGCAGTTTCTGTGCAGGGCTGGCCATCCAGCAAGAGTGGCTGCTACTTCTCCAGGAGGCATGGCCTCAGTGCGCCCTCTGCTGGGAACATGGAGGATCAAAGAGAGTTGCCTTCACAATCACAAGGACTGAGTTCTGGCATGAGCTGATAGGGAACTATGTTTCCTCCTTGCAAATATAGGCCAGGGGCCAGTGGCAGACCACCACCACTACATAACTCCCAGTCCAGTCCAACTCCTATTTATCAACTGGCAGAAGGACTGGATTTCTCAGGGCTTCCCTCTTCTTGGAATCTTGCCTATCTTCCTGGAAGGCATGCTGGTCCTAATCCCATCCCATGGAGGATCAGGACCATTGGCCACATGGACAAGGCCAAGAGGGCTCACAAGGGATGGGATCCATTCAGACACTGCCATGTGGGCAAAGAGTAGAACTGAGAATCCAAAGGAGAACCGGAGAAAGGACCCATCTGTGTAGGCTGTGGGAGGGCAAGTTCTGTGCTGGGTCCTGAAGGATGGGTTTCCTTGAATAGCTCCAGGGGGGAGGAAAGGGAAGTAAAGATGGGTCAGTGTAGGCAAAAGCATGAAGGAACAGGCATCTTGGCATATCCACCCTGGACAACTTTGGATCTGGGCTTGCCACTGAGTGGGCCTCAGTGAGAGGAGGCAGACCAGCCCCGTGCCAACTCCCGAGGAAATTAGAGCAGCACCAGAAGTTTGGGTTAATTGCCCCACAAACACCCTCTGGCTTAGCAAACCAGGAGTTAGTCCTGGGCCTTCTAGAAGACGAGAAAGCAAGTGCTAATGAAGGACAATCCACATTTTATTTGTATCTGCCTTTGCCATGTGCACAGACTTGAGCTGAGAGAGGACAGTGGGTTCTGGAGGAAGCAGGTATCAGAATGAGGACACAAAGTTCAACAGAAGGTCCCATTATACTAAGCAAGGGTATCAAACTCACACTGTCCTCCCTCCCCTCATAGTTCACACTAGATCACCTTCCCTCTCCCCACGGACTGACCAAGGGTAAGAGACCCAAACTCTTCTCTTCAGTGTTAGCTTCTCATCCTGCTCTTCCTAAAATTCTATTCCTGGGGATAGAGAGCTCCAATACCTACAACCTCCCTCCCAAACCTGTACAGTGTCCTCATTACCAGACTGCACAACAGACTTCTGACAACTGGTAATATCAGCCACTCCCAGGAAGGTAGTGTTGATAGGGTCACTGTGGCAGGACATGGACAGCCACGGAATTCCTGAGGAATGCCCAAAAACAGGGGAGAAAGGCCAGGAAGCCAAGGACATGGGCTTATTTGTCATAGAAGTCTATATGAGCTCCAGACTGGAACAGGTCCGCTTGCAACAAGTTCAGCAGTTTCTGGGCTGACATCCTGCAATCTACCAGCTTCCCCTTTGCCTTTAGCTCCTGCAGACTTTTGCGCAAGTCTGGGTCCACGGAGGTCTCCCGGGCCAACTGCTGCATGTCTGTGTCCAAGGGACCTAGGAAATAAAAAGCAGAAGACAGAAACAGAAGGTCACAGGTTCCCACTTTGTATGGAGAACAGAGCTGAATAAGGGCTATCTCATCTTGGTTGAAATGAATGGTCAGGGTGGTGAAAAGCTCCACTTCGTCACTTTTTTTTCTTTTTAAGGAAGTCTGTATAGTCCAGGCTGACCTCAAACTTGTGACCCTCCTGCCTCAACCTCCCACGTACTGGGATTAAAGGAGTATAATCACCATGTACCACTTACTTTGTTACTACTGAGTTCCACACTCAAAGTCCAAAGCCTCCCAAAACCACTGTATCTAATTTGTGTATTTGTGTGTGTGTGTTGCTGGAAAGTTGGAAATTGAACCCAGGGCCTTGTACATGCCAATCAAGCACTCTACAGTGAGCTACAACCCAGCCCTTCCACTATGTCTAAAAACAAGCTTATCATCTCCTGTCCAAGTAGCACCTTCTCTTGACTTTCCCACTTCTATTAACTGAAGAACTCAAAACCTCCATGCCCTCTTCCTGCTTCCCTCTACCTCACAGCCAACCAAGCATCAGGTAGGACCTTCTGCACCTACATACCCCAACAACCAGTTCCTTTTCACAACCCTGGTTTCTCGCTTTACTTCAATCCCTTCTCTAGCCCTCTACTAAACTCATTTTGCTAAAACTTCACTGGGATCACAAGACTCCTCTTCTCAAAACCCCTCAGGAGATCCCCAATAGTCTGGGCTACTACTCTAACTTCCATGTAGTCTGTATTTCTCCTGAGAGGTGAGGGATATTCAGGAACAGTGTATCTGTGGGTCTTTTCGAGAGGACACTGGGCCCTTTGCTTAGCTCCCAGAGAGGGACCAGCCACATCTAGGGGAAGAGATGGCAGTACTTCCTACCTACCTGGGGCATAACTCAGCACTCTCACACTAGGTTCTTCAGAGGCCAGGACCTGGAACATCATGTCACGAGCAGCCTTCCCTGCACAGTACAATGCCCAGCCCTTGTAGGGTTTCAGGGCACAGACAGATGAGACGTTAACCACTGTCCTGCTGAAGCCAGGACTGTCAGGAAAGGCCTTCAGGATGCCAGAGGTCAGGCAGAGCGTGGAGGTCAAGTTCAAAGCCCAATAGTTGTTGACTTCGGTTGGGTCACTCAAGTTCAGGAAGCCTTTAGAAACATCTCCAAGAGTGGCTGAAAAATCAAACCACAGAAATAATGCAGAGTAGGCAGGACTTTCTCCTCCCTCGGCCTCCACAAATTCCTCCAGACGCCCACTCCCATCCAGGCCTGGCGAGAGCTTCTCGAGACTTCCTAATACTTTCCCTTTTCCTCAGCTCTGCAGACAGGCTTATGGGGTTGGGGGATGACCCACCCATCCAAGTTGCAGACTAAGACTTGGGGGGTAGGGTGAGTTCTAGAGACCTTTAGAGAAGGGAATTGTTTGGAGACTCCACTTCCTGACTCACGACCCCGCCAGAGGGCGCTGCGTAAGGTGGTGGGCAAAGTTAATAAAGGGGCTTTCGAGTAGTGAGGGGGTAGGGGGGAGAGGGAGGGGGCGGGGGGGTAAGGGAAGGGGCAGGGGGAAAAATGACCCAAACATTGTATGCACATATAAATAAAAGAAAAAAAATAATTTTTTTTTTTTTTTAAAAAGGGGGCTTTCGAAAACCTGGTTGAGCAAACCCTGGCCGGGAATGGCCGCCCCGACGCCACTGGGCCTTCCTCCCGGACACCCCGCCTCCGCTTGCCACTCAAGCTGGAACAGTTAGGACTTTGTACTTTCTGCCTCTCAAGGAGTGGGCGCTCCCACGGAAGCGTCGGGCCCGGGTCTCACCCGCGTTGTTGATGAGCAGCAGTCGCTGCAGCCCCTCGGGCCTGGGGAGCTCGCGCAGGGACCGGAGCAGCTTTTGCAAATCGGCCTCCGAGCCCAGATCGGCGGGCACCCGCGCCACGCGCAGGCCGGGCCGCTCGGCGCCCAGCTCGGCCTCCAGCTGTCGCAGCGCCTCGTCATTGCGGGCACTTAGGAGCAACACGGAGCCTGGCGACAGCAGCCCGGCCAGGAGCTGAGCCAGCACGCGGCCGAAGCCGCGGGACGCCCCGGTCAGCACGCACACGGCGCGGCCCAGGCCGCCTTCCTTGCTGCTGCGAGCTTCCATGCTGCCGACTGCGGGCGGGTGCTGGAACCTGAACCCGCGCGGGGCTGGGCGGCGTGGGGTGGGGCGGGGCGGGGCGGGCGCGGTGGGAGGAGCCGGAGTCCAAGGCTGCGGGGACGGGGAGGGGGGGGGGCCCAGACCTTGGCCTTGGGTGGCTCTGCCAAAATCAGCGTGACGAGACCGAGGGGTGGGGGGTAGGGGTGGATGGCGCGGCCCCAAGCGAAATCCTGAGTCTCCCAGCGCCGCCTGTTTAGTGCCGCGTCACTCCCGCATGCTCAACCCGTGCTGGGACACGTGCTCGGAATTTCCTTCGAGTTCCAGATCCAACTTCCTTCCGGTGCTGACCTGCCCCAGGGCAGGCTGTGTAGCTCTGTGCTGGGCATTGCCTGGATGTGACCAATGACAGCCCTGAAGCAAGCCCATGCCTGTGTAAGGGCCTGGGGTCTCTGCTGAGCTTGGAGAACTCCCTGTCCTCCTGTGAGTGATGGGAGACTCCTCTGGGAGAACCACAGTCTCTCCTCCAAGTGATGCAAAACCAGTTTTCCCTTACTGGGCGTCTAGTCTCCCTGCCTCTTGGAGGTTTCTGATTTTCCTCCTTTCCCTCAATGCCGTGTTCCTGGGGTTCTGCACCTAGTGGATTTTGTTTGTTTGCAATTCTGGGGTTTGAACTCAGTGCCTCACCCTTGCTAGGCAGGCACTCTACTGCTTGAGCCATTCTTCTAGTTCACCCACAGCTTCTCCCCACTCCCCAGGCCTTAGAAGATAGGATGGTGAAAGCACAGTGCCATACATTGATTCATTGGACAGTTTTGAATTTCTACCTTGTGCCAGACTTTGAAGCAAAGGAGGGAACCAGGAAGGGATGACTGGAAACCAGACCTCACCTCTTCTGAACCTACCTTCTTCTAGGAGGAGCCTCTTGGGAATGACCTCCATGCACAATGTTTTGCCTAGCCTGAGAGAGAGCTTGGAAAGTTCTTCCCTTCTGAGGAAGAACTTATCTGTCCCCGAGTCCCCCACACTGCCAGTCTTACAAGTAGGAGCAACATAGCTTGTTAAATTACTTTTAAAACATCATCTTCACATTGGAGTCACTGAGGAATTTCAAAAAACACTCTGTCTCACAGGTCTGGACTTAGGCATTTTGAAATGATCTTCAGGCAGTTCTCATATGCAGACAAGTCTGGGAACCAATATATAGCAATTGACAGTAACATGTTTTTAAAGGTACAAATGCCTGAAATATGTAAAAATGGTGTTACAGGCCTAGGTCTGAGAAAGGGCATTGGCAGAGGAATTGCCAAAATTTGAATAAGATCTGAAGATTAAGCACACCTGTGATCCCAGTGCTTGTGAGGCAGAGGCAGAGGCAGGAGGGTTCCAGGCCAGGATGGACCACACAGTGAGACCCCGTCTCAAAAAACCAAGGGTTGGGGATGTAGTTCAAGTGCCCTTGCCTAAGGCCCTGGCTTTGATCCCCAGCACCAGAAAAAGAAAAACAAAAAACTGAACGTTAGGTTAGTTACAGCACTCTACCTTTTCCTAATTTTGACCAGTGAATTTGTTCTGTAAAATTATGTCCTTGTTTGGGGAAATACATTGATATATTCAGAGGCAAAGGAACATCATACTGGCAACATACTTTCAAATCCTTAGAGAAAATGGACTGAATAAAGCAAATGTGGTAAAATGTAGACATTTAAGAAATTTGAGTTCTTTATTCTTTCAGCTTTTGAAAGTTCAAAATTATTTCTAAATAACAAAGTTTTAAAAGTGAACTGTAGTTACTGGTCAATAATAGACAAATAACCTAAATTTAAAAATGAAAAAAGGATCTGAATAGACATTTCTCCAAAGTGCATAGACAAATGATCCATAAACACATCTGTACTAGTCAGGGCTCTGTAGAGGTAGAGAGAGGGGATTTATTGGATTGGCTTACATGACTGGACCTGGGTAGTCAGTCTATCAGTGAGTGCACACTGGAGAGCCAGAGAACCTGGTAGCTGCTCAGTCCAAGAATCTGGAAGCCTCAGAGCAAAAAGGATCGATGGTGCAGCCCCAGTCCCAGGCTAAAGGCTGGAACCTCCCTGGAGAGTCATGGGTGTGAGTCCATGATGAAAGGATGAAAAATGACAGCAGTAATTGATGAACTCGCTCAGGAAGAGTGGAGCTTGCATAGGCTAGCTGGCTTTCTCCTTTTTCTATTTTATTCCATCTGGGTCCCTAGCCCATTGGGTAGTGCTGCCCACATTCATGACATGTCTTTCCCTCTCATGTCAGTATCTCTGGAAACACTCTCACAGACACATTCAGAACTACGGCTTTCTAATCTGCTAGGCATCTCTCAATCCAATCAAGTTGACAATAAAGACCAACCATTGCAATATCATTAGCTGTCAGGGAAAGGCAAGTTAAACCTAAAATTCCACTTCACACTCATTTGGACAACTAAGGATAAAAAGATTGTAACAAGTGTTGACAAGGATGTGGAGAAATTGGGACCCTCATAAAATTATCAGTTTGTTTTACTTGAGGAATAGTTCATAGAAGTTTTGGCTAACAAATGTAGAAGAAATGACAGAGTGGAAAATACCACCATTTTTCAAACTCTAATAAAATAACTGATTCAGGCAAGGATAACTGGTGAGTGAAACCATTAGATGAAAGTTAGTGGAGAAACTTAGAACAAAAGGACAGACTTTCACAAGCAGAACTCATTGATTCATTTGAGTATCTAGAAGAATGGGAAAACCACTCAGGTGGTTTAAGGTCCTGTATTATATGCCTTCTGATGTGATGCATTGTAGCACCTACAGTGTATTTGGGGTGGGGGAGGGTTGAATTGGAAAATAAATATCAGAAAGCAGAAAAAAATCCAGGATGTGAGACTTTCTGCAAGACATGTGGTCAGTTTCTTTGAGTCAATGGCATGCAAAAAGGTGGGAGGACCACTTTATATTAGGGACATAGAGCTAAATTCAAAATATGAATCTTATTTGGTCTTGCTTCAAGAAAACCAATGCAAAAATACTTTTTTTCCCCACTGCATTATGTTTTGAACCCAGGGACTTATGCCTGTTAGGCAAGCTCTCTACTACTGAGCTACATCCCCATTTTTGAGAGGGAGAAATTTCAATATGGACTGGATAATTAATGATGTCAGTGATTAGTGTTAATTTTAGCATGTGATAATAAATAGCACATGGTTATGTAATGAAATGAAATTTTTTAGGCATAAAGTGACATGAAGTCTGGGATTTGCTTTAAAATATTTTAGTTGTACACACAGGAAGAAGGAATAAAGCAAGGGGAAGCAAAACCCTGGTAATTATTGAAGTATTGATTCTGGCTTATGGGTCTGGTCTATCGAGGTCAGTTATATTATTACATTTCTTATGTGTATGTTTGAATACTTTTTATAATAGAAAATAAAATTTAAAGTCCTAGAAACTTATAAAAGGACTGGAACACTATCATTTTAACAGAAGACCTTTACAAAGTTTAAGACACTTTCATAGTCCAACCTATATAAGCATATCCATTTCATTATATTAATTTTCTTTCATTTCTTTACATTTAAGTAAGGTGTGCTTTTCTTTTGTGGTGCTGGGATCCTGGGACTCGTACATTTTAGGTAAATACTGTATCCCTTAGCTGTAACTTCGGCCCTGGGTTGTACTTTTTTTTCTTGTTCAGGTTGTACATTTTTATTTCTTATGATGTGAGCTGTTTGTTCATGCTGTCTTGTTTTGTTTTTTGATGGTACTGGGGCTTGAACTCAGGGTCTCATGCTTGCTAGGCAGGTGTTCTTACTGCTTGAGTCACACCTCCAGCACTTTTTTGTAATTGGGTTGTTGTTGTTGTGTTTTTTTTTTTTTTTTTTTGAGATAAGGTCTTCCAAACTGTGATCCTCCTGATCCCTGTCTCCTGAGTAGATAGGATTACAGGCGTGAGCCACCAGCACCTGGCCACTCATGTTCTTTGTTTATTTTTTCTATGAGGCTTCCTATTTCCAGGCATGTTTGAGGTTTCTTTTCCTTAAATTTCCTTTGTTCAACTTTATCTCATCAATTTGGAAGTTTCACATCCTTCTCTAAGTCTTCTGATGGTTACTTTAAAAATAAAATTACGCCTGGGGGCTGGTGACCTGTAATCCTAGCTACTTAGCAGGCTGACAACAGGAGAATCGTGGTTCGAAGCCAGCCTGGGCAAATAGTTCACAAGACCCTATCTTGAAAAAACCCTTCATAAAAATAGGGCTGGCAGAGTGGCTCAAGGTGAAGGCCCTGAGTTTAAGCCCCAGTGCCACACACACACACACACACACACACAAATAAAATTACAAATGCATGAATTTTTCTCTTCTCCATCTATATTAAAATAAAAATGTTACATTTTGGGAAAAATAATCAGGCATAGTGGCACACAACTATGATGCCAGCATTTGGAAAACCGAGGCTGGAGGACTTGGAGTTCAAGGACAGGTTGAGCTACATAGTGGGACTCTTGTCAAAAAAACCAAAAACAAGCCAGGTGCAGGAGGCTCACGCCTGTAATCCAAGCTTCTCAGGAGGCAGACATCAGGAGTCACAGTTCAAAGCCAGCCAGACAAGTAGTTTGCAAGACCCTATCTTGAGAAAACCCTTCACACACACACACACTAACGTGGCTCAACGTGTAGCTCCTGAGTTCAAACCCCAGTATTGAAAAAACAAAAAGATGTTTTGGGGCAAACAGTATGACTTTGCATTTTGGAGCCAAACAGGCCTGGTTGGAGTCCAACCTCTTTCTTGTGTAATCTTAGCCAGGTTGTGCAATATCTTTAGGCCTGGGTCACTTTGTAGGCTTGTTTATTTACATATCACAAATATTTGGTGAGCGCCTGCCATGAACCAGGAAATGAACTAAGCTCTGGAGTTACAGTGGTGAGTAACTCAGATAATCCCTGTATCCGCAGAGGGTAGAATAAAGTAGCTAAATAGAAAGCACTTAGTGCTTTGTTTATAATTCAACGAGCAGTAGAGATT